TACATCTCCTCACCTTGGCTCTCAGCACGGTGCAGTGCAGCTCACTGGAACTCTGATCGTATCGCAGCTCAAACTCCAGCGTTCCCAAAGCAGCTGCACACAAACAACAACACACAATCACCGCAGGTCATCACACAACAACAGGTAGGAGCGTCGCACACTGAGTGGACGTCCAACATGTGTCAGAGCTAATTGAAGGCACAGAGAGACAACAGAGAGAGATGTGAGGCTTTAAATCTAATTCATTACAGCAGCATCTGTCACACTGAGACAAACGCAACAAGACAACAAGAGAAATCCTCCTAAAGCTGAACGCAGGTGTTGAAAAATCAGAAAAACAAGACACAGTATCAGAGAAATGAGACACAGAATGAGAAGACTGAGAGGCAAAATGGAAAAATGACACACAAAATGAGAAAACCAGGACACCAACTGATTAAAACCAGCCACCAATCGAGTCAAAGATGTTTACGGTTTGTCAGCGGCAATCAAGCCGAGATGTGAGGCTTCAGGACGTAAATGTGATTCATTACAGCAGCATCTGTCACACTGACAACAACACGACACGACAACACAGGAAATCCTCTTAAAGCGCAACATACGTGTTCACACTGTTGTGAAACATGTGAAGACATCAAACAGAAGCTGGAGTTCCTCCAGGTCCGTTACACAACATGATTTACAAACGCTTCACACGGATTACAGCGTTATTTAAAGATGCTGCTTCGGAAATACAAACTGCTGCGACACAAAAACCCTGAACTGTTCAGCAAAGACATGGGGGGTTACACAAAACAACCACAAAGAGACACAGAATGACCACAAGGAGACAAAAACTAAACTTAGAGGGACAAAATAAACACAAACAGACATAAAATGATGATACAAATAAACAAAACAATCACAAGGAGACACAAAATAAACACAAATAGACACAAAATAATGCCAAAAAAAAACAACGACAAAGAGACACTAAATGATGAAAAAAAGACACAAAATCACCACAATGAGACACAAAACAGCCACAAAGAGAAACAAAACAATCAGAAAGAGACACAAAACAATCGCAGACACAAAATAAACACAAATAGACAAAAAAATAATACAAAAAAAACATAAAATAACCACAAAGAGACACAAAATAAACACAAAGAGATACAAAATTATGATTAAAAAAAATACACAAAACATCCACAGAGAGATCCAAAATAACCACAAAGAGACACAAAACAACCACAAAAAAACACAAAATAAACTTAGAGTAACAAAACGACCACAAGGAGACACAAAATGATGAAAAAAACATACAAAATCACCACAATGAGACACAAAATGACCACAAAGACACACAAAATGATGGAAAAACACACAAAACAACCAGAAATACCCCAAAATGACCACAAAGAAACTAGATGAGTTTCCAGAAACAAAAAACAACCACATAGACACAAATCAACAACAAAAAAACACAAAATCACCACAAAGAGACACAAAACAATCAGAAAGTCATGCAAAATGACCACAAAGACACAGAATGACCAGTGAAGGACACAAAGTCGCCACAAACAGACACAAACTTAGTTAAAGACACTCAGCATGACGACAGCGTGACACCAGACAGACGAGGGTCTTCGGGCTGTTTTCGTGTCACAGTGTTTGTTCGCTGCAGTGTTGCGTCACGTGTCTGAGCTTCACTGCAGCAGCAACATTAAAGTGAACACACAAGCTCTGGGTGCTTCTTATCGGGCTGCTAACATGCTGCTGCTGCTGCGTGTCCTCCTCCTCTGTGCAGAGATGATCTCTGCAGGATCCTCAGAGGACGAATCCTCGTCAAACCAGCTTCGTTATTGTCTTTTCTGTTTGATCAGAGCTCAGAGTGTCAGTTTGCTGTCAGACCTCCGGCTTCCTGCTGTGTTCACGGGAACAACCATCCAGCACCATGTAAAGACACACAAAGCCCTCATCAGGTCTACATGTGAACCAGCTGCTCACTTATTACACTTTATTCTCATGTAGCAACGAAAGAGGCGACACAACGCGATGCTCGCTGCGAGAAGACGCATTTAATATGAACATCTCTGCAACACAACAAACACGTCTGACGCCTCAATGAGAAGAAACACAAAGAGACATCAGCACAAAGAGACACAAAACAACCACAACAATAACAAATAAGTCAACTAAATTTGCACATAATGACACAAAACAACACCAAAAGAAAAACAAAGCTACCACAAATTACACAAAACAAGCTCAAAGAGACAAAAAACCACAAAGGCAAAACAACAAAAAGTGATCGAAAATAACCACAAATAAAACAAAAATGCCACAATGTAGACAAAACTAGCACAAAATACACAAAACAAGCACAAACAGACACAAAACCAACACAATAAGATGAAAAAAAAACAACCACACAGATACAAAACAACCTCAAAGAGACACAACAAAAAAACACAAATGCAAAACAAGAAAAAGTGACTGAAAATGACCACAAATAAAACAAAAATACCACAAGATAGACAAAACTAGAACAAAATACACAAAACAAGCACAAAGACACGCAAAACCAACACAAAGATGAAAAAAACAACCATTATAAGGTACAAAATAACCACAAAATAGCCAAAAAAATACAAAAAGTGACACAAAACAACCACAGAGAAAGCAAAACTACTACAAAACACATAAAACATACACAAAGAAACACAAAAAAAACAAAAAAGTGGCACAAAACAACTACAAAATACACAAAACAAGTACAAAGAGACGCAAAACCAACACACAAATAAAAAAAAAAAACACAACCATAACAGGGTACAAAACAACCACAAAATAGCCAAAAAAAACCCAAAAAACAAAAAGTGACACAAAACAAAATACACAACACAACCAAAAACAGATGCAAAACAACCCCAAAGAAACACAAAAAAACAAAAAAGTGGCACAAAACAACGACAAAATAGCAAAAAAACAAAACAAAACCACAAAAAGTGACTCAAACCAACCACAGAGAAAAAAAAAACTAGCACAAAATAGCACAAAACAACCACAAAATACACAAAACAGCCACCAAAAAGACAAACAAAAAGCCCCACAGAGACACAAAGCAACCACAAAAAAGAAACAACCATAAAACACATAAAAGCCCCACAGAGACTCAAACCAAACACACCCTTGAAGTGAGTAAATCCACAATAACAACATTTGCTGTTTCACTTTTGTGGCAGAAAAAGGAGGCAGGCGACTCATTTCTGTGGCTCTGAGTAAACATGATTCATCTCTAAGAGACAAACTATAATTCCACAAAAGACCTTTTCTGACGAGGAGATCTGAGAGTCTGTAAATGAGAAAGTCAGGAAACAAAACAACACGGGGTAGAAATGAAGGCGATCGGTGGAGCAGCACAGTGTCGGCTCATTACTGCGCCGCTGTTCCTCCTTTATTCGCTCAAATTGGTGCCTTTAAAAAGCAGCCAAATTATTTGTTGGCGCATCCTGTTTGTAATAAATCTAAATTTACTAGAAAATTGCCACTTAATTACTACAATACTGAAGAAAGCCCGCTGCCTCTGAAGATTCTCAGTCAGGATCTTAATTGTGTTGTTTCATTTGCTGTCAGTTCAGGTTTGACTGTCGAGCTCCACTGAAGATCAATATCTTGTAGGTTCATGGAGTTGAAAACCGAATACATTATATTAACAGGAACCACGAGGAATACATTAACCATCCACCTGCACCTGCAGAGCAAACCCAGCCTGAGTGACGGTTCAAAGCTGTTTCTGTGAAGCGCATCAAAAAGTGAAAAAACAAAACAACCACAGACACAAAACCACCAGAAAGAAACAAAAATTGAACATTAAACAATCATAAAGAGGAGCAACAACAACCCCTAACAGAAACCATC